CCCATCGTCCAAGAAGTCGATGGATGTTAGTGATTGGCATCCCGTCATCCTCGCAGATTGTTTCGCACACACCAGACTTCTTGCTGCCAGTGGCTCGGATGAATTGGAACCAATATATAGAAGATTAAATTCATCCAGCCAATCTGTCTTCTGTTCATCACTGACTGATACTCCGATCGAGGATATTCAGTTGATTTAATTGATGATGTGGATTGTACACCAACGACTGGTTATCATGATGTAGTTGTTGTAGGTGTCTGATGGTCTGTTACGTAAACTTTGAAGAAAGTACTTAACTAGATAGCGAATGCGATGTGGTGTGAATGGAGATGAATCGGATATTTACAATGTAGATTGTCACAAGATCTAATATTTCCAGTGAATTTAATGTTTCCACAACCTAGCTGATTAGCGTTTTTTTAGCGATTTAGTCTTCTACGGGATGGGGACGCTAACCCCATGCCCAACCCTCCTCCTTTATCCGGGCTTGGGACCGGCAGTAGCCCCCGGAGGGACTCCAGGCGGCCTATGCTCCATTGGGAGTAACAGGCGAAAGTAAAGTAAGTAACAACCTAGCTGATGGTATGTGATGTGGATATCAACAGAAGCTTCATGTTTTAGTGTAGTCATGAGTTGTAATTTCATTCATAGCTTTGAACAGTAGTTCGTGAATGAAATGATGAATGTGATAAACGAAGTAGTGTCAGATTGTTTATTTATTGTGTTCATTTAACTTCATGCAAGATATTTCTGAAACGACTATATTTATACATTTTCAGTTGCTCTGTATGAATAAGGATATCAAAAGTTTTAAAATCGTATTTGAATCAGATGCAGCCCTTGAGTCAATCAAAAAATGGGACTTGGTGAATCCACGAATTGTTGTGTATTTATGTTGACGAAACTGAATAGTCTGTACTATTGAGAACGCTGTTAAGAATCGGTTAATTAAGAAAGTGGAATGAATCAAATATGGTATTGTTAGACGTCCTCAAGGAGATGATTATCTTTTTATTTTTTTCACGTGACCGCAGTCATCAGGAAAACACGTGAATATTAGTTACGTTAGACGTTATCGGTCTGAAAATTCATCCGTTCAGCATCCAAAACCATAAATTCCACAACCAAACTGTTCACAAGTCACTTAATATCCTGAAGGACAGATCTTGCAAAATCACCTGCAAGTTGCAATCATTTATCAGAAATAAACTTATACTCGCTAGTCAATCGTGAATTTAGTTAGCACTGAGTCTTGGATGACTATCTTTATTGCGAGCTGGTGTCTGTTTCATATACTTATATATGCGTTTACCATGTGCCACAAGAAGCCAGGGGATATGGTCTTTTCAACAGGTCGTTATATCACTTACTTATCAACTGAAGTTATAATTTGGGTTTAATTTGTTAAGGGGCACAAAAAATACAATTATTAATCGTCAAGCTTGAATATACTATATTGTTCAGCAAGTGTGTATATACTGATATACTCGCGCGCAAATAGTTAACCTCTAGACCCCTGAACCGGCATCCAACGGTTATAATGTCTAATTTCGATCAATCCACGATATTGTTCGGCCATCTTCCATTGTCTTTGAGGGTTGACTGCCACACATATGGCATTGTTGATCTCCACTGATCACGGCTTATTACTAGTGCTCCGAGAGCCACCTCTCGAAGCTAGTTACTAGTGAGAACATGATCATTATCATTATAGGCTTGTAGAGATTAACAGATAATCCCCATTTAAACATTAAAAACACGAGGTTCAGCAAAGAGATCTCCTTTCAACGAATTTATTATTAAGCTGTGCAAGCGTATATACATGAAATTTATTTTGTTAAAGTGCTAGTTCCGTGAGGAAGTGTGAACAAGGAATAACCAAGATGGTGTAAAGACTTCTCAATTTTATTTGAGCTCATTAACCGACCAATGTTAGACCACCACTGGAAACCTGGAAGCATTGAACGGTCGTTTCATCCTAACATCCGACTCCTCAGCACTTTTCGACGGTGATCTAACATTGATCGGTTCATGAATTCAATTAATGCCTGATATGTAAAAAAAGCTAAACTATTTGTACATTATTGTACACCTGTATCATGTCATTTTCAAATTGATATGAACGTTTTTTGTCAAGCAGTACTGCTCATAAACTACGAAGCGTAGAGTTCACGCTTGTAAAAAAATATTTTTTAGTTTCCATTAAAATAAAAATAGTTTCCGCGTTAAGTGTTTTCACACTGTGAGAACAATATTATAGACACGGATCTCAAAACGTTGAAGATTGACGACTAATTGATATTTGAACCAGTAGTTTTGAGATCAGAATTTCAAAAAGTGAATTTCGAGTCAGCTAAATCAATCCTTTCAGTCTTTCCATTAATCAAATGAGGCGTGATTATTTTGATTCTCCAAAGAAAATAGTATTACCTAGAGTAATGGAAACTAAACTATTTTATGGGTTGATGATAACATATTCGATCTAAATTATTTTGCTATATTAGGGGTTGAAAAGTTCAGTCATAACAAATATTAGTTTCATGAAAGAGGTACGTATGAAATACTCAATCGAAATACAAATGAAATAATTTGCTTGTTGCTTTTTGCTAATGTGATAACCGGGTGGTACCATTAAACAACTGTTGGTTAAGTTTGACACTGATTAGCATTTCATTGTGAGTGACTATGTCATACATGTCATAGTTCATACTGATGTAAACGAAGCTAATGGGAGTTCGTAAATATCGCTCGAAAATAACTTCAGAGGTCCGGAGAAGTGGTAAAAACGTTTTACCCAGTCAGCATCAAACAGACACCTTAGGGAAATATTAAAAAAACGAAGAGTTTTGTTCTGTTTTGATTAGATATCTGCTTATGCTGTCACCATATTAAGTATATCTCCAGGGATTTTTGGAAGATCAAGATGCTATAAAACATCACAAAGGCACCCAGTTTTCTGAACATCATTGTTCTTGGAGTAAAACTTTAGCTTGCATAGCATGTCTTTTCTCTATTGTTTGGGTGGAAATGTAGAAGTAGTTCAGGGTTATAGGAAGCCTTTGAGATAACGGCAACGAGAGTTCAAACGCCAGACTTATCAAAAACACTGAAATTATTTCTACATGTTTACTAGTATAACGTCATTTGAGAATATTCTAAACCAAATAATTACATTGTTATGTCTAGTACATTAGAACTATGAATATGATGTTCAGCATGTGAATTACGAGTCAACAATATTTCAGTTATGATATAGAACTTTCCCATCATTCATAGAGTTTACATTCATCATAAATCTATTCTAACAAAAGAAATGTTTCGAAAAGTAAATATCTCAGGAACTATTAAGGGACTTCAAAAACACTTTTCTGTGCCTACCGTATAGTTCAACCACGGAGGAATGACTGAAAATCAAAGTAAATGCATGAAAATTAGCATTGCATGGGAAAATAAATATTATTAATTTCGAATTAGTAACGTTAAATTTATATAATCAACCATGTTACTTATGAGTAGTTGCTATTTTACAGCACATAATTTAAAGTATAGTGACCAAAGCTTCATACATATCTGTATAGACAGTACTATGAATTTATCTGTGTAAAAGTACATTCTATGATATTTCTTAGCATTCGCATTCGACTGTATGATTTTTAAATACAAATTTATATAAGTTGAAAATGTATGAAATTTATTGTTGACATGATATATAAACTAGGGTCATCTTAAGCGAATATAGATTTCACTTTTATACGACTTTAGTTGGTATCCTGTCAAGATGATTTAGGTCCACTTAACCTTTGTCATCTTAAATTAGTGATATTTTCCTTCAATATCATCCACCGAGAGAAGTCGCCTTAATAATAGTTCAAAGTGTAAATTACACCGGATCCTTTCAACATTATCAGATACTGATTATCTGCTTTCTCCATTTTACCTACAAGGAATCTATTAAGTAAAAAGTTATTATGATACTACAAAAAAGACGTTTAAGAAATCACAAACGATTAGAATGGCAGCAGCGTTTTCTATTCATGTACGACTTAGTACACAATTCCATGATTATTTTTGTTATTTCAAAACAACAAAAAATCTTCAGATCATTCAAACAGTATAACAAAGTCCTACCTACATAAACTCTGATATCAATGTTAGAAGTAATAATTTTTGAAATCGTCATTTCAAAACTCAGCATAATATAGTCTAACTTTGTTTTATTACAAGTGAAAATCATTAGATAGTTTCTCTTGATTTTCTTCGAAGAATTGATTATAGCAAAGATATATTACAAATGTCATATATTTGAACAATCATAAAATAATGTATATTTGAAGGTATGCAAGTGTTTATTTATGTTACTAAGAGTTGTTTTGAAATAAATTCTCAGCGAAGATGTTAACAAACAAGTTACTTTATAAGCTCAACACAAACACTCACATATCATGAAATGTATCAAGAAGGTTTTTTTTTGTATCACGATGATGTATTATGAAAAGATTACGATGTACATAAATGTATGCTACTTCTCAGACAATTAAAATAACCCATAAATCCTCCTATAGACATACATTTTCCATATAACTATATATACGAATGTACAGCTTAAGTAAATGATTTAGTCGAAAAGAAAATTTTCTTCGCCGAATTCTCTTTTTCTTATTATGCTACTCCATTATTCCATTCTTACTTATGTTATCTATCTCTTGATGAAAGTTAATCAAGAGAAAATTTTCTTTAAATCGTACACAAATTGCAAAAAAATCACTGATTATTTGTTCAAAAAATGTAACTTTAATTCAGTTAATCAATAAATCACTTTGTATATTTGAATCTCATGAATGTGACACAAATCGAATGGTGAACAATGTTCCTTTTCATAGAAACAACAATCATACCATTCGTTATCATTAGAATAAATATTTGATTATTGAAAAGTTAGAAATCAAATTGAAATCTGATTAAATCTTAAACTTTAAAATAAAACTAACTCATTTCATATCAAACATTTGTATTATTATTGAATAAACAAGCTTACATAGTAGAATAAAATGATTTAAAACTGTAATTATATGAGAGTTTGATATTGATATGTCGAGTATGAATTCATTATTATTAATTAGCTTGATTCATCTTCTAATATTAAATGCTCAATCTCCTAGTCTACGATAAGATCCAATGTATCTGTGACAACTTGGGCATTTATGATCCACATCTTTACACGCTTTCACACAGAATGGTATTAAACAACAACCACAAGCTCCTCTGTACAAAAAGAATGAAAATTAAATGGACTAGAATAAACTATAACTTCTAAATTATTGAAATAAAATTAGTTTTCATATGAACTAGTATTCACATTTATTAATTTTAATACATTTGAAAAGCCTAATATGTGAGGTGATGAATCTACCCATGTTAGACCACCATTGAAGACCAGGAAGTACTGGAAGGCCGTTTCGTCCTAATATGGGACTCCTCAGCGTCGCGCATCCACGATCCCACATATTGGATTCGGAGCCGGGTCTCAAGCGCAAACGCTTGACTTCTAGACCACTGAACCAACATCCGTCGTCTCAATCAAAAACTCATCAATCTCTACAACCCCATACTGATAATTAACAATACATCGTTCACCAGAATACAGAAAGTCATCATTAGATATCTAGACGAAAATATTTTTGCATCATTTCATTGCTAATATGTAATGGTGTTTCACATTTATTTTCTGAAAATTTCCTTCTAATCAGTTAACATTCACTCGATCACTAATTTTTTTTTAGAAACAACAGAGTTCATAACTGAATGTACGTGAAAAGTTTTCTTTAAATAATTCATAGGGGATCGATAACAATTTCAGAATACAAAATAACTCAATCATCCTTGTATGAAAATTATTTGCTATAACAAACTCTATGACACAACTAAATATAATTAGAAATGAAAGGTTGAAAAACCTGTGATCAAATTAAGACGAACTTTCATCTTTTCAGCATTTAACTAATCGAAAGTGATGTAACTTCCCGATTTTTGTATGTTGATGTCAAAGATTTTACTAATAGGTTACATAGTTTAAAACTACATAAGTTTATTTAAAACATTTTATCCTTTTTAATTCTTATGAGGATGAATTAAAATAACTTTATCATAGCAACCCATATATATGTATGTTTATATCCGTCACTATGAATATCAGTATTAATTTATCCAATCAAAATCTATTCACTTATATATCTAACTTTGATCTGTTTTCATTACAAGGCTTCCAGCGTCTAATGTTGTGGGTGAGATACGGTGTCACTCTCTTGACTTAAACAATCACAACTTCCTACTATAACATTGGGAGATCAACGTACAATTTAGTTTCTTGTGGATGTATCATTATTAGAGAAGGTTTTCATACCATTGTTAAGAGATGATGGTGTATACTAAATTGTCATACAATACCATAATAGGATAGCATTTAAATAAGTTCACTTCAATAAATAGCAAATTAGTCTTTACTCTAATAAACATAATGTCTGACAACCAGGATAATCTTTATTACTCTACTTTTTAACATCATTTGACTGAATAAAGGTTGTATGAAAATCGAAATGAATCACTTTACTTTCTTTTTTTTTTGTAATATTGCTATCACAATGTCGTATGAAACTTATTAACTAGAATTTTATCTATAATAATAGGTAAATTAACATCATAAAATTAACTAACCTACCCAAGAAGGAATATACCGATACAAGCTGCATAAGTTAATAAACCATTATGATATTCTAATTGTGTAGATATATCTTTTCCACATGATGGACATTTTAAGGTTGTTGATCTATCTCTAAACTCTTCTCGTGCTTTTGGTTGATTAGTAGTGATCAGTGGAACTTCAACTTTAGATAGTGTTTTCTCTATAAGATATAAAAAAAACTAGATTGTATTTTGTAAAATAAAAGAAAATTTGAAATTTAATGAAAATGATTCTTTCACTGTATAATGGCATTTACATGGTGAGTAACATTTGATGGTGAATAAAAATTTGATTTTAGCTAACCAATGGTATTTTCAAGAAATGATTATATACTTTCCTGTAAACATTTTCTTCTGATAAGATTAAAATTAATTTTTGTTTTGAAAAGCTAAAATTTTGATATCCGTTGTGGTCTCATCATCAATATAGTTGTAGTAATGAACAGATCTATACCGATATAGTCTAACATTAAAACCTAAATCTGTTTGACCCTTATTAAAAATAGGCTATTTTTTAACACAGATGAAAGGGATATGGTTTCTCAAGCTACAGGCATCCGAATTTATCCTCATAGATTTTGAAGATACAATAATCGAGTAAGTATTGATAAGTTCGTTAGAACTGATAAAATACAACTAAAAGTTGACCACTACTCTTAAATATAGATATTTTAACCGGTAAACACAAAGAGCAATACACCCGATGATTTAAATGTAAAAAGAACCACTAGATGAATTAAAAAGCACTTAATCAGTACTCAGAAATCACAATCAGGAACGTATATAATGACAGTATATAACTATTTTTATTTTTGATTGAGGTCATGAACCGATTGATGTTAGACCACCATTGGAAACCTGAATGAACTGGACAGCAGTTTCTTCCTATTGTGGAACTCCTCAGCAGTGCAAATCCACGATCCCGCTCACGAGATTCGAACTTAGGGCCTTCAGTCTCGTGCGCGAACGCTTAACCTACTGGAACACTGGGCCGGCATCCAATGGTGTTGATGTCTAACATCAACCAATCCACAAAGTTGCGCAACCATCTTCCATTGTACTGAGGCAGATACCTGTCTCTATCCGACATGGATTAGCTCCACTGGTCACGGCTTCTAACTAGAACTCTGAGAATTCCCTCACGAAGCTAGTCATTAGTGATCACATGTTAATTGTCAGTATAGGGGTTGTAGAGATTACTAAGTTTCGATTAAGATCATAAACCAATTGAGGAGTCCCACAATAGGACGAAACGGCCGTCCAGTGCTTCCAGGTTTTCAACGGTGGTCTTACATCAATCGGTTCATGATCTCAATCAAAAACTCAATAATCTCCACAACCCCTATATTGAGTATTTTTTATTACTCGTTTTGCTAGCTGTCAGTTAGAAAATTCCAAAATATCTTGTTTCTTGATCTAGTGAATAGAGTCGAACATAGCGTTTTCGGAATCCAGTATTAAATTTATGTGAATTAATCATTTATGGAAAAACATATGGATAAACAAATTTACACATCTGATATATAATCGTAAGCCATATATTATAATCACATATCAAAATCATCTCCAATTCTGTTGGCTAACATTAGGGATTAAATAACTGAAGAAATAATAGTTGGGTAAATATACACATTTTTTCTTCATCTAACTGATCAACATATGTCTAGTTACTTTAAAAATATTTCGAAGTATTAAGTCAACAACTGTTTGATTAGTTACAAATAAGTTTTTCTTATCAGTAAATGACGAAGTAAGAAGGCATTGATAACGAGTATTGAGTTCACGAGTTTTATAATGAGATGCACATTTCGAGTGTTTACGATTTTGATTTTACAGACATAATTGCTTACAAATCTCAAATGAACGATCCAAAAGGGGGGAAAAACACACATTTTCGCTTGCTGACCCTATATTGACAGATGAAATGTTGAACAGCACCTTCTTTGTTTAGCCTTTACAACACAACTGATCTTACCATTCACATAGTCATATTCAAAACTGACTATTAACTAGGAGATGAAATGTTGTGTATGCCCATTGGCCACTGAATGATGATTGTTGTTGTTATCAAATTTTATTTAACCAGTCAAGGAGATTATGATGAAAATACTAACTTGTTTAGTAGGATACTGATTCAGTTTGAAAGATCTAAAGTAAATTATTGGATTTATTGAATATCATCAAGTGTCGATAAACGTTGATGAATACACTTGAAACACAGATCAGTTTTGCTATACGACTCCAGTAAGGTTTCCGACTAAATGATTATCATGATTGCTAACCAGTGTCAAATTTTTTTTATCAGATGAATCACAAGCTATGCATGATTTGGGACATCAGAATGAGGCATTGAAATTGTGTCACATCTTGAAAAGTGTAGAGCAACATTGTCTCACAAAATGTTCTGACTTACCGGATTGCTTCTGCATATCTCAGTACTTCACACTTGCGTAAAATGATGAAAATCGAATCAATGAGAATCTGGTGATTGTTGATTGAAGAGATAACAATATTTTAACCACACATTCTTAGTGAATGATCTCTTTATATAGGTTGAGTTTAATGTAAAATTTGTAAGATATTGATGAATGAAATTATTAATGATAGTTGTATTGGTTATACTAACCTGATATTCCACTTCTTACAACTAACTGGGTCAAGAAAAAAGTGCATTGTTGTTTATTAGTTAATCAGTTTGATGAAACTTAAATGTGCATATAAACGTAATTGGTCATCTGATAGTAACATTAAATGTAATTATATCAATAAATAGCAAAAAATACATGCATGCAAATGTGAGTAAATATAGTTTGGTCCACTTAACAAGAGTATAAAGGTTTTTCCTATGCAAACGCTTTTATTGCATCGGTAATTGATAACATTTTTTAGCTTTCCAATCATGTTTCTACAAACGATAATTCTTATGTCATGTTATTCTGTAAAACCTAAAGTTAGTATTTGGAGCTTTACAGTTTCTCATTGTATGAATTGGTGCGTTATTCAGTATGAAGATGGAACACTTTTTTCAGTGTTTATTGGGTAGTAACGATTGTCGAGTTGGTAGTGATCAGCAACAAAACCCTTTTAAATTGACTGGGTTGATCCACGTATAAAGAATCCTCAATTAATAGGTATAACTAAGTGCCTTACTACGAAATACATTAATGCCGCCTGTTTAAAACAGATTACCAGGATTCACAGAATAAAGGGATTAACTAACATCCAGCATATTTTGAGTATCATTTACTTAGGAAACACAATTACCAATGTATACTGAGAATCATCTGTTTTGTATTACACTTTGAGTGAGTTTTCGGCATCAATGAGTATTGGTATGTAAACAGCGCAGCAATTTCAAAAGTTTTGTAGACATACCTGAAATGGAATTTCTGTTCATTATATCTACATACACACCATGGTTTTCACCACAAAGTACAAAAGTTGAATTTTTTACTTTACTCCAAATTCCTTATAAGTTTAAAGAAATAAAAATAATAGTGCATTAATTCAATAATGTGTAGTGACTCAATTTTATCACGAGAACACGATTGGTTTATTGAAAACAATTATTATTGTGACCAATTGTACCAGTGACTGTTTAATGTGCTCTTTGCTTAGCTGTGCTAAAAACATCCATTATACTCACTTTGATTGTGACCTCGCGCGAATCCGATTACGCTCAGTAACCAAGCTTGTATCCTGGCACGATCTCGGTATTCTTTCGGTACCACGAGATCGCCAGCAAATAAATCTCCACTGGATCCATTAACTGCCTTCTGATATTTGGCTTCCGGGGGATTTTATGGATATTCTGGTACGCGTTCCTTTGTAGCGGTGTTCATAGTCAACTGGGACTCGACACCACACTACAAATGCATGCTCAGTATAACATAGAAGTCTCAACGAACTATATTCAATAAATTCATGTTGCCCATAATAATGTTGCACATCCTTTGTACTTTGAATTAAAGCACAGATTCTAATATATCTGCTGTTTTTCTTTCTGAAAATAAACAAGAAGCATGTAGATGAAGTGGGTTTGTACCTAATAAAATAGCACTTATAAACTTGTTTGCAAGATTTCAGATATTTATCCACAACTATATAACGGCTGTAAATGCTTCACTATATATTTTGCTAGTCCTCTTGATCGCACTACACAACTGAGTGAAATATTTCCTCTGAAGTCCAGAAAAAAAGTGAGAAACAGTATAGTATTGTACAGTGTTATGGCGGAGGACTCTACTCACAAGATTGTTTGTTAATAGCATGAAGCAAAACGTGGGGTTGAAACTATCACAGTCGTCTAGAGAAGAGAAAAGTTTATAATGACATTAATATTCAATGATTTTTGTAACGACATTTTCTCTTTATTTACTACACTATATAACCATATTTATATCCAAAGCCTATTGCTATGTGTTTATAAAAAAACGGGCGTAATTGATTGGTTGAATAATGCTCATGCAATTGTGGTTATTCAAATAAAACTCCATCTCTGTCACCTATTCTTCTGCTTCATTGGCCACGGTTTGTAACTGAAGATCATAAAGCTTTTTTAACACCCTTTTAAGCCATTTTATATCATGTTGGAATTTCGGCCTGGATTATTATTCAGTGATACTATCGGATTTATATGTCGGGTCACGCAATCGCTGCTACCGCGTGCAGAGGAACCTTCGTTAATCAAGTGAACTGATTTGTGATTGTTATCTTTGAAGTGACTCACAAGTAACATTCATTTCGTGGTGACTGTTATCAATTTTTGTCGTCTAATATACCATTTCTTTGTAATTGCTGTTTGTTTTGCTCATAAACAGACATTTGGTTTGTATTTTTAATATTTTTGGGTGTATAAATAACTTTGTGCGTTGTTACCTCTGCATTAAGTTCTTTTACTGGAATTCCCCATAATTTTCAGTACATCGAAAGCATAGTAACGGTAGAACATTTTAAGACTAGACGGGAAGACAATTCTGATTGCAGAACACACCGAAAGATGCAAATGGGTAATTGAAGCCTATGTATATGTGATATAAAAACACTGATTTCTCACAATTGATTCCATTTGCTAAATGTCTCGTTTTACACTAATTGTACACCCATGTCACTACAAACTGGTAAAATTCATTCATTGGTCAGCTTTCATAATGGTCAGTTTAGAGCATATTTCGGAGGCTGGAGAGAGTTGTTTTGAACTGGTGAGCATCTGAGACTGTTCACTACTGGACTATACAATATTAAGATTAAACATGCTTTCAATGTTCAGTGAACTGTAGCAACTATAGTGTAGTGTTTGTATGAACTAATGGTTCCTTCGTACTTATTGACTGCTTGATTTTGAATTCCGAATACAATAGGCTTGTTCGTGTTCATCTAATACTTTTTGGTTAAAGTGCGTTATTTCTGGGATTCTTAGTTTGTACTATGATTCAAATACATCTTATTGCCACATATAATCGTGAAGATAAATTAGAACAACAGTATTTTTCAAACTTGTGAAGTTATTAAAATGTCTAACATGAACCACTCATAAATTGTCATCGATCCACAGATACTTTTGTTTTATTTCCACTTTATTCAGCCGAACAATGAATAATTCTACAGCACAAGAGATTTATAATTTTTTGTTTCATACAATATTTTTCATACATATTAATGACTTGTGGTTTTCGGGTCTGAATCAAACTGTCAAAATGAAATATGATAAATTCTAGTACTACCACACACTTAGATGATTCATGATAGCTTTTGAACGGACTTTAAAAATTCAGACAGCACATTGAGTCACTTTTACCTTCATAATAACTCCATTTTTTCATAGGGAATTGTAGTCCTCAGTAAATATACATCTTAAATTCATGCTCCCTTAGTTCTACGCTCATATGGCTATTGTACACTCATATGTCTGTCACTCGTCATTTTATCTAGTCCCTAACTTTTTCACACCGCGCATTACCTATTTTGAGCGTGTGTGTGTACCGTTTACCCTATTCATCACCTGTCTTTAGCCTATTTTTGTATGGCTATGATTCGTGAGTGATGTGTAGTGACCTACTTTTATCAAGAGAACGCGATTGGTTTAATGGAAACAATCATTATTATAACCAATTGTACCAGTGATTGTTTTACTGTAGTTGCTTGTTTATCTGTACTAAGGACATTGTTCCTTCCTTTAATTGTAACCTTGCACGAATTCAGTTACGCTCAGTAACCAAACTTGTACTCCTTTGGCACGATCTCGGTAATTTTTCGATACCACGAGATCTCCAACGAATACATCTCGATTACAGCCATCAACTGCCTTCTGATATTTGGCTTACGAGGGATTTTATCGGTTAACTGGCACGTAGTCTTCCTGTAGTGGTGATCATAGTCAACCGCGACTCGACGCCACGCTACAGATACTTCATTAAAATGAGTTGGCAATCTTGCCTTCTTCACTTTGCTTCATTTCCTCACTTATTATTTTGAATGTCTGACGGCGTTAACGAATATCTGAAATAAATTTATCCTACTCAGTCCTCAGTTGTGTTCGTTTCATCGCCGTCGTCCAAATGGAGTTGGTCCAACAACAGTGTACGGAAATAAACGGAAGATTTAAGTTCACAGTATATTTAATCGTTCGTCTAAATAAGAGTCAGATCTTGGCCCGCTAAATTACCGATTGTATTTAGAGAGTTGATTGAACTTAAAATTTGACTGCATACATCCCATCAAAACAAAGGTTTTTTAGAGGAACAAATGATATACAACAAAAGCACGACCAACAATTGAACAAGATTACTTGTGAAATTCTCTCCGATTATTTGTAACCCAGAAGTAAAATTTTTAATTCGTCGTTTTGCTTAACATCTAGTTCATTTTGATTCCAGTCTAACCTGATGATTAAATACTTTCAGAATGCTAAATTATGTGTCCGTGGTACTTGTCAGGAACTGACCTTGGTTGAGGCATCATTGAGAACTAAGCAGAATTAAGATAACAGTCTCGTTTTATTGTAATGCTCCTCAGAAGCACTCAGTGACAATACTTTCAAAATATGGACCCACAATCTTCAGGTTTCACAGTGAGTTTACTTAAGTGAGTGAATGAAATTATAGTTAAACTTAGAAAACATGTATGATGAGCGAAATATATGGTGCTCATTTCCAATATTAGTTTTGTGTAGTTAAGGTGCTTCTGTGGCTGTTGTCTCATTCCATTTTGTGTAAAAGCATGTAAAGATGTTGATCACAAATGTCCTGAATGCAGTCATCACATTGGAACATATCGCACGTTACAAGAAAAATATATGAAATAATGTTCATTTGCAAATATGTTGTGATATATACTTTGTATCAAATTGGTCAATGAGTACGTTTCTTTGTTAATTTTCTCTTACAAATACATTTGTCACCAATATATAAAAGATGAAATTCATCCAGTC